GTATCACCTCAACAGCATGGCACTCCAGGTACGTGGATCCTGACCAATAAAGAGCTGCATCTACATAGTGCTCCCCTCATCTAGGGCTCGTGTCTTTGCTCACTATACCCTACCCAGGCTATGTTTCGCCGTATCCACCATTGCCTTCGACAACGGCAACACACCGTACCGGCACCGTTGCCTTTGCCACAGCAGTAGTCGCTCATACGAGACCGCAAGCATCTTCATCAGCCGCGCCGTCCACGACCACTTCACGATCGTCAGAGGACAGACTGCTGGTACGTGAGTATACGAATCCTGCATTACCAATCCCAACTCGAGCAACCTCCTACCTTCCGGGCGCCATGGTAGACGATGCAAGGTCAACCGCACAAGTAGGTTGCGAAGTCTTGTTCTTTTATCCCCTTTCTTATCCTTTCTACCCGTTCCTGCGTTCCTCATATATCTCTCTCCCACCTTTCCTGCTTGCAGCTTACCGAACCCCGCTCTTACTGCACATCGCTCTCGCATTACTACTTCACATTAATACAGACGCCTGGATCGTGTGCATGAGCTCACTCTAATCATGTGTCCCACTGACCGCAGTGACCCACAGGCTCAGAAGCGGGCAATGATCGCCGCGCTAAATGAGCACCGTATCAACACGATTGGCGAGCTCCGCCGAGTGGAGCGGGTCTTTGCGACTCTTGGATCCCCAGACCTGACCCAACCAATGACGGCTGCATGTACGGAATGATCTGGCAACCGATGAGATCTGTCGGCCGAGTACTGATCATCGCAGGGATGTACTACGTGAACTCGAATAGCCTACTCACCGAGCTTCGCGGCCTTACCCGGAACTACCCATTCAGGTACGTCCCATAGTGCTGCTGTCCCTCTTCCACTCTCCACCCTGCCATTCGAACCCCACCCCGTCAGCACCAACAAGGAGGTCGAACCGTCACTTACACGCTGCCCCCCGGCGCCCCCGCAGCTCCGAATGCCTCGACGAAGCCAAACGCCGCGTCCACGCCGACCCGGCCTCGAACCGCAGCTGGAACTACTGCTGGCTCGTGCTCGCCAAAACGCACACGGACCGCCTGATCCCCGCTTTCGCCCGCGCGCAGGCCGTGCGGCCGGAGATGTGGGGCGGAACGGTGCCCGCGGCGCAGTTGGTCACGCAGCTTGCGGAGGCGTTTGTGGAGGAGTGGAATGCGGCTCTGGCGCAGCTTTTGCGGTTTTGGGAGGAGGCGCCTGTTAGGTGAGATGGTCGGAGTTTGTTAGGGTTGAGTGGCGCTTTGGGTGGCGCTTACGCGTTGCCTTCGGGGCACCGCAAGATACTTATTACAGTCGTTTCCGGCATGTAGCATTCGGGATTGCGTTATTTACGGACGGAAGATTACGCTTGGGTGGAAAGCTCAGGGCAAGCGCTCGCAATATACGAAGCCGGGTTTAGCGTTCGGTGTCGGAAGTAATCGTGTATATATCTAGATTACGGCGTGGACCGCGTAGCTTTCTGTACATATCATCACACACATTCTACAATCTATAATCAGCGCCTCCGCGACTCGTCATCCTCAAGTAACCTCTCCTCCTCATCACCATGCCTATCTCCTCGCTCCTCATCACCCTCCTCCTCCTCCCACCCATCCGCCTCCAAATTCGCTCCACGGATCCCAAAACTCAACAAACACCCCAAGAAAGCCACCCCGCCAAAAACCCCAAACGCCAGCGCCTCGCCCTTAGGCCGCACGTTCGTGGCATACGAGAACAGCGACCCGGACAGCAAGGGTCCCACCGCGCGCCCAGCAGCCGAAAGCGTCTGCGCGAGTCCGTTCAGCGTGCCCAGCACAGCGTGCGAGGGCGCACTATTAGTGATCAACAGCAGAGCACTCGTTAGTCCACCCACGGCCGCGACGGTCTTGATGAGTAGCACCACTCCCAACTCCACCCACAGCCAGACTTTGCCTTGCATCGTCGGCGCCCCGTCCCCGTTTGCTGTCCCGGATTTGTATCCCACGAACGGCATCAACACGAACGCGACTACGAACCCGGTCAGACTGACGCGATACGTCATCTTGTTCCCCATTTTCTCTCGTAATCGGCCGAAGAGGCCTACCTGCCAGATTATGCTGATGGCGCCCGCGAAAGCGAGGGTGAGGCCGATTTCTTCCGGGGTGAGGCTACGGCCGGTCGGGGGAGGGCTTTGACCGAAAACTGGGTAGAGGCTGTTGTAGCTTATGTTGGCGAGCTGGAAGATGAAGAAGGTGGCGAGGAGGAGGAGGGTGTCGCGGTTGAGGATCTCGGTTGTTTTGAGGTTCTGTTGGGTTGAGGGGACGAGGGTTGGACGGTTGGTGGTGTCGTCGTCGTCGTCGTTATCGTAGTCGGAGTCGTCTTCGTCTTCTTCGAGGAGGGGCGAGGTTTGGCCGGGGTGGCGCTCGCCGTTTGCTGGCTTTTGTGAACCGCCGAGGTAGGCAGGTCGGTGAGTAGCGGTGGAGTGACGAAGCCAGGTGAAAAGACCGCTTACTCTCTCGCCAAGTGGTGGAAGCTCTTGCGCACATTCCAGCGACTCTTTCAGGAAGAACATGGTACCGATCATATCAAGAATCAATATTGCTGCCGAGAACAGGTTGGGCAGCAGGTAAGGATATGTGTTCGGTCTTTCCGGATGTGACGGATCGTATCGCCTCACCATCAACCCGCCCACTATTGGGCCCGTGATTCCTCCTAGCCCATATATGACAGGCAGATATGTGAACGCTCGACTCTGATTCGATCGGTCCGTGATCTCGCCCAGGCACGTCGAGATCACCGCCTGGTTCCCGTTCACAAGGCCCATGAAGACCTGCACCAGCACCGCCTGCCAGAGATGCTTGCAAAAGCCAAACGCGAGGAAACCGCATGCTGTCAAGAAGGTGCCGGTCAAGATGACGGGTTTCCGGCCGATGCGATCCGTGAGCCAGCCCCAGGCGAAGTTTGTTGTAAACTGTGCCAGTGCAAAGGAGGATGCTATGAGGCCAACATACATCCCCACCTGTCCCTCTCCCACTTCCGGGAACGTGGCGGCCATTTCGGGAATGTAGGGAGATATGCTGTTCAAGGCCGTCTGCTCTGCCAGGGCAATTAAAGCCAGGATAGCCAGCTGGCCCTTGGGCAGTGGTGTTTCCTCATGCTTCCCATCCCCGCTTCCGCTCGACTGTGGGCGTCGCTCTGCTGTCGGTGACCGCGAGGTATGGCGCTTGATATCTCGTTTGCTCACCTGCCTCCCTGCATTGCGGGGCGGAGCAGTGGGAAAGGTCTGGTAGTGGAGCGTGGAGGATTGCCGGTGGTATACGCTGGGCCGGGCGTTGGGCTGGGGTGGCTTCCCAGACATGGCGAAAAAGATATGACAGCCTGTTCAGTCGGAGGTGGTTGTGAGACTCGTCGTCGTTGATGGCGGTACGATAGGTGGTGTGCCAATTGGTTCGCCTATTTCGCCCACTCTTCGCCCCCATCAATCCACTTGAACGCTCTATAGATCGAGGTGGACACGCCAACACTACCTGTAGCAGCTCATATGATTGTTTCATATCGTTCATGTTCACGGGTGTCGACGTGACTGACGAATGACGTGAGGTGCGGCTGTTGTTGCCTGAGGCTCTCAAGTCCTCGGCAGTCTGTGCGCGTCGACACACTGCCAAGAAAGCGAGTCGCTCCACCGACCAACGAGTGAAGCCTCGAGTAGTCGAGGTCGTTGCTAATTGTCGCCCTACACCACAGCTACACCCGCGCCGACGACGAGCACCTGTAGCCATTTTAGTATTGCGAAGGAGCGAGTTGAGAAAAGGACTGCCTGCGAAGATGGATCATGAGAAGCTGGCTCGCATGCAAAATGCAGTGCGCATTGGTATGTCGCGAAGAATCTCCTCCGATCAGTACACCAATGGTTTGGTAGAGCTAACGAGTGTGTAGGGTAAGAACAACTCCCGCTCTGCACCATCTTCCTCGAACTCGGCTTGGCGGCAGGAGCCTCTCGCATGGAAACACAGCGACCACAACCGGGCACCGCCGATTCCCCTGCCGCGACTGCCTCGTGACACCGGGAAGATGATGATTTGTGAGACTGACAAGAGGACAGAGGCAAGGGCACACCCCGGCGGAAGATCAAGAAGGTCCACAAGTCTTCCGGCACCGACGACAAGAAACTCCAGACCGTCCTCAAGAAAATGAACGTTCAGCCCATCACGCAGATTGAGGAGGTCAACATGTTCAAGAGCGACGGCAACGTCATTCACTTCTCCGCGCCGAAAGGTATTCAACCCTACACACTAGCAATCGCGGAGTGTTGCATTCCGTAATGTAACATCGGCTGACAAGGCTGGTGTGCTTAGTCCACGCCTCCGTCCCCTCCAACACCTTCGCCCTCTACGGCAACGGCGAAGACAAAGAGCTCACGGAGCTCGTGCCCGGTATCCTGAACCAACTCGGTCCGGATTCGCTCGCATCGCTGCGCAAGCTCGCGGAGTCGTACCAGAGCTTACAGAAAGGCGGTGAGGGTGAAGAGGGTGGGAAGAAGGCAGGAGGCGCGGACGATGACGATGATGAAGAGATCCCGGATCTGGTCGAGGGAGAGGAGTTCGGCGGGAAGGGAGAGGTGGAGTAGAATAACCAGGCCTGCCTGCTGGAATCGGCTCTACTCGGGGCACAAGAAAACAAAAGGGCCTCGCGATTGCAAAAGGGAACAGAGGAGATACCTTGCAGTGGTGTGCATGCGCGAGTGGCGAGCTCCATCGCAGTGCCAAATGATTTGCATCCGCCGTCGCTCGGGCGGTGCAGTGGGCGGACGATCGCGTTTGTACATGCTCAGATGAAAATGTAACATATCCCGGCATGAACGCCCAATGCATTGCGCTGAACTGGGCGATAACATACCCGTATCAACGCACCTCATATCTTGACAATCGTGTCACTACCCATTGGTTACACTCCCTTACAAAATCTAGCGATTATACATATTTTTTGGAAGGTCTTCCATTGATCGCGGGCTTGTGGTTTAGTGGTATAATTCCTCTTTAGCATTGGCTTTCTCGGTGAGAAGGCGAGGACTAGAGGCGGTCCCTGGTTCGATTCCTGGCAGGTCCACTTTCTTTTTTGTCTTTTGGGATGAACATGCGAGCAATGGACGACAGAGCACATTTTAAGCACATCCAGAGAGGCCATGCGTGCTTGTGTTTCAGTCCTCACTGTGACGGCGAGCTTGTTTTTGGACGTTTAAGCTCCAGTCAGCAGAGATATTTCCTTCCAACATGGTCGCTCGACGCAGATGTCAACATTCCAGGCCACTTCAGGCCGGGTGGAAGGCTCCTGTGCTACTCTATATATCCCGAGGATTGAATGTCGCGCAGTCCTACTTCACACCGAACAGCTACCTCTTCGCCGGTACAGTTACAACACAGACTTTCCTGGCTTCCGTGGCTACCTTACTACATGAACAGTACTCGCATGTAGAAGCTCGTTGGTTTTGTACAGAACATAGGGTATACATCGACCTCCCAGATCAGCAGCACCAGTGGCTTTCTCGGCACACCTATCACTGACATGCCCCTCTACTACCGCCCCACCCTCGCCACAAACCGCGCCTCCAACATCCCCACCTCTCGCTTGAACTCCTCGACCTCTTTCCAGCAATCCAGCGGTCGCCGGTCATTCGTCCGTAAACACTGCACCACTTTCTCCTTTGCCTGCTCCACGCTCTCTGGCACGCTCTCCACTTTCTTCCGGCTTTCCAGCTTCTGCCGGAGATCCATGATCTCTTTTTTCACGCTGTCGGAACTCCGGCCTGAGTCGGGTGTGTCTGACGGTGATGCGCCGGAGGGTCCAGAGGGGTTGCGGGGGGAGTGGTCTTGGTAGAAGGGGGAGCGGAGATGGTCTGCTAGGCTTGTGCTTGGTTGGGAGGGGGTTGATGTAGATTCGGAGGGCGAGGGTGGCGGTTTCGGGGGTGAGATGGTGAGGGCGTCGGTGAGCTGGGAGAGGTCGGTGGATTGTTGGTCCCGGATGCGGGTCAGTTCCTCGCGGACGCGGGACTGGACTTTGAGCTCGAGGTCGTGGGCGCGGGTTGAGTCGGTCTGGGAGATGTGATGTGAGTGGACTGGTTCCGTATAGACCTTTATTGTAGGCTGTACCTCAGGGTTGCGCTGTAGAGAGTCGAGGACGGACTGGCTGAACGTCACTGGCGCATCGCTGCCGCTGTGTTAGCTTGGCAAACTCTTGCGGTGCGTCTGATATAAGACGTACGCAGAGAAGACCTGTTGCTCCGGCTTGGAACCGCCGTTACCCATTGGTAGCACGCCGTACAGACAGGGTGAAGACGAGCGACGACTTGCTGTGCCCTGAATGTTGAAGTTTTGGGCCTCACAGCTTCCCCAATGGCGGGTGAAGTTCGGCGATAAGCCGGGCACCGAGCTCACTGCACGCGACGCGTCTCCACTTACATTCACATACAAGTCCAGGTTGCTCCCGGTAACATACCTGCACATATGGGCACCAACTTGATGAAGCGTCAAGATGGTGCAGTCGTCGCTGACAGCATGGCTCAACAAGCCATCGATCGCCATACAGCCTTCCAAAGTTGGAAGCCAACAGCAGAAGACGCTTCACGCACTCACAACGCCACCCCCGTCTTCAGAGAAGAAAGATGAACCCGGCGAAAGGATCGAGATACTTCCCGTGACTGAACAGAGCTGTACACAGAATAGGCCGCTCCGGACGTCGCCAACAAAAATGCCCCCGAACGTCCACTTCCGCACATGTACCACGGAAGACATACCAGCCTTCAAACGCCTGAATAGCTTACTCCTTCCTATCCCTTACCCGGAATCGTTCTACCGCGAGATTCTCGAGGATAGCCTGACAAATAATATCACCCTCCTGGCTACCTGGCTCGACGACCCGTCCACCATTGGAAAAGAGAAAGGCCGTCTTGTAGGGGCGATCCGGTGTCGACTATTCGCCCACTCGCTGGATTCTCCGGCCCTTCACAGCTCTGCACCAGACGAGAAGCCAATGCTCTACCTCTCCACTCTTGTCCTACTCTCACCATATCGTTCCCACGGGATTGCGGCGCAAATGCTGCATCTCCTGATCGTCCGTGCGATCGAGCAGTATGGGATCGGATCTGTTGGCGCGCACGTATGGGAGGCTAACACGGAGGGTCTGGAGTGGTATGCTAAGCGCGGGTTCCGCGTTGTGGGGAGGGAAGAGGGCTACTATCGGCGGCTGAAGCCAAGTGGGGTTGTCGTAGTGAGGAGAGAGGTTGGGGTGGGTGATTTACTTGGTGGATGAATTGGGCTATTGGTGAGCTACGGACTGGACTAGACTAACTGCTGGCATCGAGTCGTCACGCCAGTCAAAGGCAGTGCACGGCTACTCGACCACTCTGCTCACCCACCCGCCCAGCGTAAGCTCCGAGCAGACGTTCTCCATATCTTCAACGCTAAGCGCGAGCAGGACCTCCCAGTCCGCGCTTCCTCTCCTGCCACCCTTGCGCGGCAAGATATTCACCGCGCCTTCGTTGGCTGACCAAGTCTTACGCACCCAGTCCGGCGACGTGGAACCAGCGCCAGGTATGGCGAACTCGATATCGGCACCTTGCTCCCGCCAGTCGGAGAAGTCGAGGCCGGTACCCGGCATTCTCAGAGCGCGTTTAGCGGCTATCGGGATCTCCGCTGGGTCGAGTATGGAGCTGAATAGTGCCAATCGCCTGCGAATGTACGCATTATCCACTGCGACGACCGCCTGGCGGATCCGCGAAGCTGCGCATGCGACCCGCACGACACTGATATCTGACTCATCGGCAGCAACCAGCTGGCTGATCTGGAGAGTTGCTAAGCCGCACACGACGGCGTTGCCAAAGTACTCGGCAGGCAGAGGTGGGTCGAGCCGGTGTCGGGCGTTCACCGCGATCGCCCACTTGGTCATTGCATGTGGAAACAGGCGTTCCTGGCGCGCGCGCATGACAGCGACCCAGAGGAGGCCGCCCAGGCAGTCGGCCGTGGAAAAAAAGTCGCTGGGGTCTGCGGTTCCTTGCAGAAGACCTGCGACTTCGCTCGTCAATGCGGCGAGCTTGTCGGCCGTGAACGTGAGCACGCGGGCTGTCGCGGAGGGCGATGAAGCTCTCGGCATGGGCGCCTGACTGAAGTCGTACTCTGGGAAGTCGCTTGACTTCGGTGGCGGGGTAGCACTCCGAGAGTGTGGCAGCCGCTCGAGGGCCCCTGGACCGACAAGGCAATCTGCGGGTGCCCTTTCCGCCTTGATGTTTGCACCCAGAGCGCGGAGGAAAGTCGTCATACTTGCTCCATCGAAAACGGTGTGGTGGAAGGCGACACAGAGAATCAAGCCGCGGGGCAAGAAGTTGACTTGGATTCCCATTGCCGGGCACAATTCACCGCATGTCGGATGATTCGATAGAGAGGACAAGAGCTCCTTCTGCAAAAGACTCGGCGGCACGCCTTGCTCGCAGAGCTCTTGATAAGTAAACGGAAACCCTGCTTCGGCGATGTCCTCGACTACGAACACTGGTGGGCCGAGCTCCATGGTCGAGGGGTTGGGGGATGGTATGACAGAGGGGGCGTTTCCTTTGACAAGCATGATACTCGCCGCTGCGGACGGGTGCTGTGTCATTGTCGCTAAGAGTCCTTGGCGTAGCGCATCGCAAGCTTGTGTCCGCCGGGATTGATGTTCGAACCGGAAACCGAAGAGTTTGCGGACGTAGATGGGGCCCATGACAAGGTCGAAGGGGGACAGTATCGAGCTGATCGGGGAGGTCGTTTGGGCCATGATTGACACTGCTACGAGGGGGCCGGGCGTTTGCGAGGTCACAGGCGGGGACGAGATAGTTCGAGCAGTGGTAAGGTATGCGAACCCGAAGGGAGAGTGCATGCCACTTTACGACACGGGCTCGCATGGGCATAGTTGTGAATGCAGCATCTCTGGCTCCACGCCGCGAGAGGCAGTGACCGTATGCGCTACCAAAGGCCCCGAAGGCTTGCGCGGTAGTGTTGACTGAAAGGTCGATCGCTTGCTGATAGCATGTTGGTCGGTGGTTGAAGAGACTCAGTGACCAGAAGAGCGATCGCTCACTGGTCGCGTGTTGGACAGTCGTTGCAAAGAATCATTGGATAGAAGGGGTATCGCCCACCGTGACGACACGGTGCCCAGTCATTGCGAAGACTGGCTTGCGCATGGTCGAGAAGCTTGCAAAGACATCTGTTGACTTCTCCTATCGTTGGAGGACTACATGTACATGAGCTCATACTTGGCGACTCGCGCCGAACCCTCATCCGCACAGCCAGCGCACTCTGGGCAGTACCCTAGAAAGGCAATTCGATGGCGAATGTCCTCCTTGACCACTGGCGGCTCAACTTCCGCGCCGAGGCGTTCTCTGAGAAATCCCGTCGCGGATTCGACATAGTACCCTTCCAATACGTCTTGCCTCGTGGCCGCTTCGTAAAGCAAGACACGCCGCAGCAGCGCCCACTTACTTACCCGACATCATCTAGCCATTTGACAGCCGTGGGAATATCAACGTCAAGACAGTGGTGTGTTAAGAAGTGGTTTTCCTGGTAGATTATTGGTATCGTGAGCTTGCGGATGAGTCTGCAGGTTCGCGTCAGACCAGGCTCGTGAGGAGCATGGCCTTTGCCGGAATCCCAGTATTTTCCATCGTCGCGCCAGGTGACGCCGACACTATCCTGCCAGTCGCAGCAGGGGTAGTTGAGGAGGAGATAGGGCGAGATCAGGGCGAGCTCGTAGATTCTCAGTTGTACTTCGATGGGGAGGGCGTGGAGACAGACATTTTGCTCTTCGGGCTCCTGGGAACGGCATGTTGGGACAAGACGGTGGGCCTAGCACGAGTCGTTCCCCTTACTTCCTTGAGACTTGAACCGAGTGGTATGGTCCAGAGGGAGGGTGGTGAAGGCGGCGGCGAAGCTGATGGTAATGGTATACACCAGTTGATGATGCATCAATCTTCCTCCTCAGTGACTCAGGAGCGCTGCGAGGCTACTGCCCATAGCACACTGTTGAACTTTTACTAATCAGGATTGAGGGAATCTACCAGAAGTCGGTCGAGGACATCATTCTGC